GATTCTACGCCAATAAGCATCCTTCAAAGCTTCTGTAAGTGCACGCTTCGTCACGGACATCATCGGTGGATCCTCAAAGCTCTACCCCCTCACCCCCCCTCTCTTCCCTTTTCAAAAACCGGGTTGTGGTACTGACAGCGAACAACGAACAACAGCCCGTGAAAAGACCGGGCATCGCTGTTGTCCCCCCTTGCAACCCAGACCGTCTGGCGTCTGGCTCGGAATCCCGGGGAAAATTGACCGGAGAAATACGGCGGACGGGAACTGTAGCAACCTGCGGAGACACAAACCACCACTACTGCTACCTCTTCGCTCTTGGTGCCTGCAGTCCTTGGGGCTGTCGTCCCTCCTCTCCCTCCAACCCTTCTTTCCCACAATCGTTATCCCCTCCGTCCTTTCCTTTCTTCGTATCTTATCAGAGAGACGGCTTGCCCGTCTCTCGTGCCCACCCTTTTCATCACAATGCGCTCTAGTATTGCCTGTGCTCGCTGTCGGCGGAGCAAGATCAAATGTGTGAACGCTGGCATTGACACAACTTGTCGCGCGTGTGAGTCTTCTGGCAGAGAATGTGTATATCCCGCCCCCGCAATCGGCATGGGCGGTGGTGCCGCGAAACGGGACCTCGCCGCCCTGGCGGAGGGCGAGGAGCGCAACGGCGACTGGGACAGCCCCAAGCGACAACGCTCGCGCAAGACGGTTGGTCTCTCCTCCTCAGCTGCTAAAGATGCGTCCAAGATTGGTGCCGAGGTGCTTGATGCATCCATCCTGACCAACAAGGTTTGGGATGCCGTCTTCGACCTTTTCCAATCCCACTTCGCGACTATGCTACCCTTCGTACATCCCGCATCTTTCATCGGCCAAGCGCGCCAACTTTCCTCCAACTCCTCTAACCCCTCTCCTCCGAACAACGCCGATGCGACACGCGACTCCGTGCAAAGTCCTCCTGTGACTAAATCAGATCTCAATCCGCTCATTCCCCTCGGCGTTCTCGCTCTGACGGCACGTTTCCACCCTCAACTTGTCGCATACCACTCTCCATCGTCCCCTGGAAATCCCTCCAACCCTCTCGTTGCCTCCGAATATTATGCAACAGCGTTGCGCAGCCGGCTGGCCGGCGTTGAGGGTGCTAGTCTGGCAGTGCCCGACCTGACGCGCGTACAAGCCTTGCTGATGTTGGCGCTGCATGAATGGGGAATGTGTCGTGGGAGGAGCGCTTGGCTATACGTGGGGATGGCTATTCGGCTTTCTCAAGCGATGGGCCTGCCCTTTGAGTTGGAGAATGAGATGCCATTCCGCGAGGGACCCCGATCTCCTGTTCTCAAAACGGAAGCCGACCTATTCGGGCTCCCCAGGCGTCCTCTCGAGCAACGGGAGCAAACCTCCGACGATGTCATCGCCCAAGAGACGAAGCGCCGTACCTTTTGGGCCTGTTTCATCCTCGACCGGTGTCTGAGCAGCGGCAAATACCGCCCACGCATGATTCGCGTCAAGGAGCTCGCTATCCAGCTTCCCAGTGATAACGCTTTTGCTTTCGGAGAACGTGTTCGGACGTCACGCTTGAGTGAGCCCGCAGTGCGTCGCCCCACAAGTTTTGGTGCTCAGGGAGTTCAGATTCCCAGCATTCGACAAAGCTTGGGAGGCTTGGGAGACGACCGAATGCCGAGTGCTGGTCCGGGAGATGCAAAAGCGTGGTCTCCTATTTCCCGTCGGAAAGACTCGAGTGAGGATGAGATCGATCGCTGGGAAGTCGGTGCTGAAGAGTCCGTCCACAGTCGAATTATCCGTATAATTCGCATCTGGGGCAGCATCGCCAAATGGTCGTGTGCTGGGGGGAGAAGGTATGTCTGCGCTCATTCCCTTAGCACGATTTATTCTGACTGTGAGTAGAACTGAGCAATGGCCTCCGTGGCACCCTGAATCACGCTTTTCGAAGCTTCGAGCAATGCTGAGCGAATTTCAGGATGGGTTATCCCGCAACCTTCAATACTCTCCTCGCAACACCGACACCCACATCATGTACAAAAATAACACACTCGCACCTTACACTGTCATGCATGTGGTCCACTTCCTGTCGGTGATTGTTCTTCACCGTGCTTACATCCCCTTCCTCCCGGTACGATGCAGCGAACCTGTCGGACCGTTGGATGAGCCGCTCTTTCCGATGGAAAAGGCCGGACTTGCTGATGGATTCTGGCGTGAAAGTGCTCGGGTGTTGTTCAGCGCGGCCCGACAAATGATGGACCTGGTCGTGACTTGCCAGGACCGAGGAGTGCTGGTAGAAAACCCTCTCGTGGGGTTCGCAGTGTACAATGCCGTATTCATCGGCATTTACGCTGCTCATTTCCCACACATGGATCCAGACGGAGTCCTGGCCTCGAAGAATATGAGCGATCGAAACACGCAGGGACAAGCGCAAGCCCGGAAAGCACTTGATGTCCTGCGTGAGATGCGACCTCGCCTCAAGATGGCGCGTGGCTGGTTCCGCACTTTGAATCGGCTGCACACGTATTTCTCCAAGGTCAAACGTGACTTTCGGCGGCAATCGCGCAAATCGGACCCGGCCGACCCGGCCGACGCTCACGCCAATGGCATTCGCCCTGTACGTGAGGGCGGATCCGGCGGCGGTCTTGAGGAGTTCAAGCTTCTGGAGAAGTTGTTCCTTGATTTTGGCATCATTGAAGACCAACTCCCAGAGAGTGGCGCCGACGATGACGGTCTTGCTGCTGCGAGTGAACGGGCTACAATCCATAGCGATGCGGGCAGTAATGCTGTCCGCAGCGAGACTGGAGACACTGGAGAGCCTCCCTTAGATGGCGCGGGGGGCAGACGTGAGTCTTGGGTCCCTATCAACAGCCCTGGTATGCCGCTGCCCGGACCCGACGGCGAACGCCGGCCTAGTCTTCCATTGCCTCCCAATCGCTCCTTGCAATCTCAATCCCCTTACTCTCTCCCGTCTTTGCAACACCATCCGGATGGGCCATTGTATAATTCGTCGTCCTCCAACCTTCCTTCGCTGGGACCGCCTGGACCATACGGCGTTCCGCCTTCTACATCGACCCCGGCGTCTTCGCAGTACAATGGTCCAGGAGCAGCTTCCAACCGCCTGCAGCCGTTGAATTCCTGGCTCAATCGCACTCAGCCACCTCCTCCTTATTCTCAGTCACTTCCCCCGATCAACGCGGCAGCGTCGTCCCATGGATTGCCATTGTTGCCCCCTCCCGGCTCAGTCGGCCACCCTGGCGCCTCCCCGCCAGTGACCGTGGATGGACTGGAAGTTGTTAACACTAATAGCTTGTGGTCGACGAGCTTGGGTGGAGACGATGTACTTGCCTTTCTAGAGGGGTGCGAGTATGATCAACTACCAGCCACAGTTTCTCCAGAGAGTACTCCGACCGGGTGGCTCACCACCGTGTGGACCGAGTTCGCCCGCTAAATTTCCCGATTGATTATAAGCCTTGTCTGTTTCTTTTTCCTTTGTCTTTCGATTTCGATGTCTTTTTTTCATGATGGAGCATTTTTTGGGCTGTATTATTACGCTATATGCGCGCCTGCTGTGCTGTATGATTATGTATGCGCGCTTCGGCGGACTGACGAGACCACGCAATGCTTTGGGATTGACGCGATGTTTATTTGAGGGTTGGTTGAGACCTCTTGGGGTAAACCCCTATCAGAGGGGTCTGCAGGTCGCTTTTCTTGTTTCTGTCTTGTCTTTGGTTCCTGGTTTCAGCAGCATTGGAATTTGCAATGGCGCAAATGTTGTCTGTGGAGTGACACGACAACTGTTGGGAATGAAATGGCTTGACAAGGGGGTTTCATGCAAGTTGATTTTGACGAGCGTGGCGTCCGGTTCGGTTCGGGGTTTATCTTATTTTGGATGGACCGGAGGCATTTCAGTTCCAGCAATCTATGACGATTACCTTGGTCTTTTTTTTCGTTGCTGCAATGCACCTAGCTGTAGAGAAAGAGAGACACGAGATGCCGCTGGCAAAGTAGCATCGCTCGGACTGTCTCGATGGCGGGGTGGTTGTTGGGACGCCACAGCGTGGCGCAGGGCGTGAGGACTCTAAGGAGGGTACCCAACAGCTCACCATCAACACACGTACGAGGCATTTACTGTCGGATTATCTTGTCTGTTGAAGCGCTCCAGCAGAGGACATTCCAGACTATTCAATCGATCCCCCTCCACCCCCCCTGCAATGTACGGTATCCATAGCAGGAGCAGCACAGCCAGCCATACAGCGCAAGTCCAGGAGCCCGAAGCAGATGCACGCATCTCTCCGAGCGCTTACTTTCGAGAAATCTCATAAGTGGTCACCATGATTATCTCCAAAGAAAAGAAATATTGGCTTGGATCGCGACAGGTGGTTGGCTCACCAGCAAGCTAGCTGGACGGTGCACCGTACCTTACTTCCACTTTTCCCTCTCCACTGACGAAGTAGCAGGAGTTTTATACAGATGGCCCATGGACTTGTATGTTCAGAGGGGATCGGTCCTCTCGAGTGCTGATCAGGTGAACGCCTTCAGAATCAGAATATGGAAGATTGGTGGGGAGGAATGGTATCCATGGGCTCGAGAGGGTAGAAACAACAGACTGTGCTGTTTGCAGATGCGACAGGATCTCATATGCCTACGATAATTCAAGAACGAGGACGAGGATTAGAAGTCAAAACAAGCTTCAATTCCCACTCCAACGGATCGCAACTCTAACGTGTCCACTGGAACTCTAAATCGATATGATGGACCCCCCAAGCAAAACCAAATTAACCAACAAGGCGCAGACATACATGCATAGTGGAGTCCAAGAAACCGCCCCAAGCCGAGCTTATTGAAAACTCAATGGATAAACAGCTGATCGGGGCCGTAGTGTACACCGGAGAACTGCTTTAGTGATAGTCCCAGTGGTCGACCCCCCTCTCCCCCGATAAGCTCTCGCTAAAGTGCGGGTTAATCTGGACGTTCGGATCTTGAACCACTTCACCAGCCCTTCTGGAGGGTACATATTAACTAGATAACCGCTGTGGGAACGCATCCATGCAGACTATCAAATTCGAGTCCATGATTATCGTGTTCACCTCCGATAGGATCTCTTTCGCGACTGTTCGGTCTGGGTCGACCGCCGAGACGGTAGCTGCTATGCTCCCGAGTCTTCCGAGGAATGACCTAGCTTTGCCTAGGGTATCTGGTCTCTGGGTTAGACGATTATCTATACTTAAGACAAAACATCATCTAAGAGAGTAAACTGACCAAGTGCCTTCCTCAGAGTGTAGTCTTTGTGGACACGGCGAAAGATCTTCTCGGTCTGGGTCAATTCGGGCATCGCTGCGGGGGCGATGACCTTCGTTTTGAGCTGGTCGCAATCGAGACCGATGTCTAAGGCACGAGTATAGTCAGCCATCCGATGTCCGTACTCAAAGGGCAAAGATCCAGAAGAAAGAAGGAGGAGGAGGAGGAGGAGGAGGAGGAGGAGGAGGCGAACCGGAAGATTCATGATATGATCGCAATTCTTCGAGCAATGCAGCAGCGGTGACCCCGACAGGTATTGTTGTGATACTTGCTGTGGCCGTTTCAGTCAGATCCCCCATCAACGCTGCAAAGTATGCCGCCATTGGAAGTCTCCAGGCTGGGTCCTCGAACAAGTCCACAATTTCGCGGAGCGCCTGCATGCAATCATGCGGTACGGCCGGGTGAGTCTGCCTGCGTGTCTCCAACACCCCGCGCAGGCGAAGGACCTCGTTCGCCCATCGCGGTCTCTGCTGGGGAAGCTGGATATCCGCGAATGCGGGCTGAATGCGCCGGAGGCGGTTGCCCTCACAGAGGGACTGCGCACTGATCACCTGGCATTTGCCCTCGATCTGCAGCGCGCCCTGCGACAGGTACTCGCCAAAGTAGAGTTCCGCATCGCGGAATTCCTTCAACCTAGCTAGACCTTCACCGTGTGGTTTCGGATCATTCTCGAGGAAGACATTGAGCAAGTCCAAGTCACGGATGAAAGTTCCGCGAGGGAACTCGGTCGTGTCGATCACGTAGAGGTTTATTTTGTCCAGAGGCGAACCGTCGCGGTAGCTCCAGCGGCGGAAGTAGATGTACTGTAGCGCAAAGAGCAGGGAACTGGTCCATGAAACGAAGGGGTCGTTGGAGGGCTCCTTCCACCAGAGATGGTCATTCAGAAGGGCGGCTATGCGGTCTCGTTTCTTGCCTTCATTCAGGTTGGAGAAGATGTCTTCCCTGTGAGGGAGGGTGCTCTTAGGACGGACCCATGTGCTGCTCGTTTTGGCGCTAGTCTTCGCAGATGCCACGCGAAAGAGATAGGTTGGGGTCTTTGAGAGAGAGCTGCAAGTTGCTTTGAGGGCGGCTGGAGGGTTGAAGCAGAGAGGTTGGAATTGCGCATTGATGTTGAAGTCTTGAAAGGACTCAATGATGGTTTCGACTGTCATGTTTGCGGATGGGCGTGGATGATTTTGATCGGTCGATGCTGGATAACTTGGATGATCCTCAGAATGTGCACTGGAGTGGAAGTAGGAGAAGGAAGTTTCCGCGACATCAATCTGGCTTTTATAAGTTTCCTCCCCTTGATCCTCTATCCTTTCTTCTTGGAACATTGATTGAACTCAAAGGACAAGGCAACAGTAGTTGAACCTGAACCCTGTTATGGCAGATGGCGCAAGTGTTGCCTGCCGGGGCTATAGTTGAAACGCCATCCATTGGTACGGGTGTATTCTCAAGGCTGAGTGAAGTGAAAGCCTGGAGGGCTCAAGGCTGGCGCACAAACACTTCAAGACTGCGCCGCTAAATGCTAGACATGGGTTAACTTATGTGTTGGTGAGCGCACTGCAACTTCCCAACTGTGCCACATTGTGGCTTGTTGGCGCCTGCACCAAGCAGCCTGAGTCGTGAATTTGATCCACAAAACCACAAAACACACATTCTCTTGATCATAGGAGCAAGTAGAAGATGGTCTGCAAATAACAGTGAAATTTATTTAGAGAGCCTGGACGATCTTCGCGACTATCAACGGCCATGTTGCACTTCCGTAGGACTGTCGATCCTAGGAGAGGTGGATACCATGTGGAAGTCGTCCGAGACAGTCACAGTGGTTGCAAGGGTTCGAGTGACGCCAACACTTCAAGAGATGACAAGAGTCATTGCTCACCTTTGCAGGCAAAGTGATCTTGAAAGTGTGGCGGTGTTGGGCGCTTCTGATTGTGTGGGTAAAACCACGCTAGAATTGTCAATCCAATAATTCTAGCCTCCTGAAAGCCGTGTTGAGCAGGTTCATGTGTTGGAAGACAACAGTCAGGTGAGGAGCCACAGCCTTACCTGCAGCCTTCAAGGCCTTGGTAGATCGTGAAATCAAGGGTTGTGTGCACTGTACACTAGGCATCGCCCCGACGATTGTCAGGCTGCTAGCACTTTATTGTCGATCTTCTCTCGAATGCTTCGTTCCTACTATATACGTGGAGGCACATTGAGCTGCATTGATTAGGTTGCGTGCAGTACCAGAAGCATAGCAACGGCTGTCCTGTGCTTTAGGCGCAAGACGTGAACAAGCCCATCTCATGGCAGTAATAATAAATAGAATAAGTATGGAATAAATTACAAAGAGAAAGTCCTTCGTTATCATTGATTTTGGTATCCTACCACATCAAGTGTGGACATCGACAATCGCTCCCCCCGCTCCTGCGACAGGATCGACTTGCACTAGATCTGTCACCATAGCCCGTTAGCGATGTGATACAGGGTAGAGGACACGAGGTAACGGCGGGATGTATCCTATCGATCAACACTCAGAGAACTAGTATCCTTCTTCCTCGCCTTGCTGGTAGACGTGTCGCGATCGCGTCGGATCTTTGCGCATCTGTTGGCCGGACCCCGTAAAACCCACTGTCCGAGTCAGTCATTGAAACGCACTTTACATTGTAGGAAGTGGGAGAAGAGCATACCTCGAGCAGTCAATCCGTCTCCTGTTCGGAACATGCTCTCCTTCTTGCGTCCGAGTTTCCCTTTGCTGGCAAAATCCTTCCACTTCATCTTGCCCGCCTCCAGCTCCTTGTTGGCCTTCACCTTGCGGGCGGCCTTGGCAGGCCGTGCGGATCCCTCGCTCACCTTGGTCGGCTCTTGACGCGCCTGGTTGGCCAACGCAGGGTTGATGTCCGCCGCCGCAGAGATCACGCTCGAGTGGGATGGCTGGGGTGCCGGTGATTGGGAAGAAGAATTGCCTGAGCCTGCATCAGCCTTGCGCTTACGCGAGTCATTGCTGGAGATTGGCCGAATGTCCTTGGAAGTCAGAGATTCCACCGTCCCGTATGACTTGAACGAAACGAGGTAGACGGGGTTGCTCGAGGAGCCGGTGATGGAGGTGATGCGCGCGGGATAGAACGAGTTATCGCCCGATACCCAGCGCGCAAGAACGTTTTCGTTGACGGAGAAGGACGACTGGTAGGATGGTGCCGGTTCATCGGGCTGCTCAGCGGTCGGTTTGCGATAGTTACTCTGTGTGCTATAACTGTCCTTCGCTCCTTTATCCTTCGCCGCGGCTGGTTGCGGTACTGCTGGTGGCGCTGGCGGTTTCAGTTCGGCGATGGATGTTTCGGTAAGGTTTATAAGTTCTTCCAGCTCAGTTTTGAGACTTTGCAATTCTGTGTTGTCTGGGTCTACCTGCAAACTCGATTGGACGGTTTCAAGCTGATGATGGTCAGATCCAGTGGAGGGTGGTAAAAATGCGGCGGTCGTACCTGAAGCTTGAACTCCTTGACCTCAGCCTCCAGGGCTGCAGTTTCCGACATATTTTTGAGAAACGTTGAAGTGGGTTTGAAGAAAGAGGGTATGGCAAAGAGAGGAAGTATGAGGAGAGGCGGTCTATTGATGGTCAAACCAAGACAGACTGGGCTGAATCGCGAAGTTGCAGATAAGAAGTCGCGTTGGGATAAGATAGCGTGGCGAAGCCCCACTGTGGCTAGTCTCATCACGTGATTTTAGCTACACCGCCACATGGTTGAACAGAAGGTCGGCTGAGTCCGACAGTAAACGTGGACTCGTTCATGCTGCTTATCGCTGACAGACTGCACACGTCAATGAATGCAGAAACACGAGGTCATGTCGTGACGGTCAACACCATCCTGGCCGGTTCCCTCCTATGTACTATGAAACACTGCACCTAATACCCAAGCTTCATCGGGGCCATTGCGGCCATGCACAAACGCCAGACTCCATCAGGGCAATCAACCCACTGAGGGTCGAGGCTTAGTTGGCGTCCGTTCCATCGGTAGTCGATCCTCACGTCATTCAGTTTCGGGACCTTTGCAAACCGATGGGGAGGGTAATTGGCTCCTGCAGGGTCATGATGGATCCGCCAATAACTCCAATCATTCAAGACCATCTTCTACAGCGAAAGTGATAATGCAGGATGGGTCTAGTCGCTGGAAGATGGCGTTTTTGCTATACTTAGCATAACGCCAACCCGCTCTTCCTCCCTCGTGCCTGGGGTTTTATCGATCAACCCATGGATGGTGAACTTAGGAGAGCCTGTTTCGGCGTCTAGGATTTCGAGCCGGAATCGCGGATCTTTGACCTTCCATCCCCACGGTTTACCCCGGTTGCCCGGGTGGCACTGGACCGAGATGAGCAGTTCCGGCGAGATGAGATTGAGTTTCCCAGCTGCCTCATCTTGACCTCTTTTTGATCTATTTACGATAGCTGCTTGCTGCCCTCGGCGTTCTTCGAAATGGTACACCGTAACAGAACCTCATTGAATCATCTCCATAGAAGAACATGCGACCCGAGGCACCCGAGTGGTACGAGGGCCCCGATAATCGGAAGACGCAGATACATACATTCCGCTATTGTACAAATACGGTCTGTAGCAGCATTCATCACGGGGAATTTTTTTTGTGGCGCGAGATGAGTCACTCTTGTTGAACCAAATAGATTGTCTAGTTAGTAGGGCGTAGTTGTTGAGTGCAACGGTGCATCGGTAGTAAGCACGGAGGAAGCGGCGTGTATTCCCGATAGGCAGTTCTTCATATCAGTGCTGAGTGAGTGAAACCAATCAATCAATCAGCGTGGAAGAGAATGGGCGAAGAGAGAAAAAAGACTCAAAGCATCGTCAGCCTCGATTTATAAGCAGGCGAGACCTTCTCAAGGGTTTTTAGGCACTTTACCTTTATTGGTTGAAGTGCCTCCCCCGCTTTTGCTGTTCACCAATGACCATTCACAGATAGGCTCACCGCCCTCTGCCGCCTTAGGCAGCGACTCGCCCCCCCCTCCTCAGTCTCCGTCCCTCCGCCCTTTCCATTCCATCATCTTTCTTCTTTCATCCAATTTATCCAATTTACTCAGTGCTCCCTCAACTTGCAGAGTCACTCACTCTCGACTTCACCACTTCCCCTTCAATTCCCGAACTACGCCTTTCTTGTCTTAGGTCCTTAAGTCCTCCAGCGATCCAGTCAGCGAATCATCCCCCCCCCATGATCCTGAAACCGCCTTTGCCTTAGTGTCCTTTCGCCGGCCTTGCCCACCCACCCCCTCCCTCTACGCTGCTCTTCCATCTTCCATCCTTTCATTGTCAGTCCACCGGCTTGCATCATAATTCTCTTTCCTTATTCCACACTTTCTCCGAGCCCCTCTTCTCCTCCTGACCTATCCCAATCCCGGTGGTACCTTCAGTCATTCGTCAGCCTTTGTTGCGGCTTGTGCACTCGCTTGCTAGTTGCTTCGATACTGCTCCTGGTCAAGAACGTCCCTGATTCTCTCTTGCTTCTCTCCACTCCAGCAAGGCTCTTCCACTGAGGACTTTTGCATCACTTCAATCAACTCGATCAACCTTATCTCTCGAACAAATCTTCGCAGAGTTCAGCTTCGGTGATAGCGGCCTCTTTACCGTAAACGAGTCTCTCATTCCTCTTACGGGTCCTATTATCCAGGAGCCCGTCGATCACCCCATTCAGCCTCTGGGTTCAACATCGATACAACGAACGGGCGGGAAGCCCGGCCCTGATAGCTCAACGAACAGTCGAATCGAATTTCTTGACAAGACACTTGATCCTATCAGCTTCGTATACGAGACGCTATAGCTGTAGCTATCAGATCACCGATTCTTTCCAGTTAGCCTAATCATATTCTCGCTTGGGGCTTCGAAAACGCGTCCTTCCAGCACAATTCGTATCCTCCTTTCACAATGGCCGACTACAATTCCCTCTATCAACACAGCTTGTACCTCTCCCCCGACCAGCAAGACCTTCTTCTGGCCGCGCTTTCTTCCAACAACCCTCCGCCCAAACAGCAAGCCAACAACCAAATCAAGAGATCAACTTCAGAGCCAGACTCCACCCCCGGTAATGCATCCTCGAGCAGCTACAATGTATCGCCGGGGTTTGACCTCACTCAGCCCAACTCCGGTACCTTGGGCTATGGTGACGACGAAAGTCCTTTCCTCGACTTCAACCCAGAGCTTGACTTTGACTATCAAGGTACGGAGAATTTGATCGGTGATTTGCCCGAAGGACTTTCTCTGCCGGACGAACATGAAGCAGGCGAGAAGAGAAAGGACATGGACGGACCTGCCGAAGAAAATGAAGGCGCTGGCAAGAAACGAAGGGAGAGTGATGACAAGACAGCCAAGAAGCCGGGAAGAAAGCCATTGACTTCGGAACCCACTTCGGTACGTTTCGTCTGCGCCGTTCGTAGTAACGTACCCTTCCACCCTTGTACTAATTCCTCTATAGAAGCGTAAAGCACAGAATCGCGCAGCTCAACGGGCATTCCGTGAGCGTAAGGAGAAGCATTTGAAGGATCTTGAAACAAAGGTGGATGAATTGCAGAAGGCATCGGATGATGCGACCCAGGAAAATGGTTTGCTTCGCGCCCAGATTGAACGTCTGCAGGTTGAACTCAAGGAGTACCGGAAACGTCTTTCCTGGGTTACCAGCACAAACGGGCTCTCAGCTATGAACGCTATCCCTGGAGCCTACTCCAAGGGAAATTACACTGGTCTTCAGAACAATGATTTCATGTTCGACTTCCCCAAATTTGGCGACCTTCCAGGTGCTCACATCTTCAACAATGGTCAATGGGGCAAGAACCAACAGGACAACAAGCTCAAGAACGACGTCAATTCACGAAGCGAGTCCCGTGTCCCTGGTGTTCTGAGTCGCGACTCACTGAATGGAGTCAAGACCAATGGATCTGCGACGAATACGCCTAGCCCCATGTCACAGTCCAACGGTGAACGCTTGGGCTCCAAGAGTACCACGCCCAAGCTTCCAATGACCCACAATACTCAGCACGCACCTTCTGTACAAGATGTTTCAAATTCTGATTCTCCGTCTTCTTCGTCCGACTCTCACCAAAGCCAGTTCCTCTCTTCCAGCGGCACCTCCCCTGAACCATCTGTCAACTCGCCCGCAATCAAGCACCACACTGACCACAGCAACTGTACTTACAATGGAATCAACGGCGAGGAGTCCTTTTGCGCACAGCTCGGTATGGCTTGCGGCAATATAAAGAATCCTATCCCGGCGGTCAGGCACAGCAGTGTCAGCGTCGCGAACACGCCCAGTCAGCCTGAGCAGGGTTCGACAGAAACTGCTCCCGAGCCCGCTCTTGAGATTCTGGCTCAGCAGAATGGTGGGCAATTTGACCCGGTATTGTTCGGAGATTGGCGCGAACCGCAAGACGCAATTTTGTCACAAGACTTTGGCACTTTCTTCGACGACGCATTCCCATTGCCGGACTTGGGTAGTCCTTCGCACAACTTCAGCGAATTGGCCGGTCAACAGCAGCAGCAACAGCAACAGCCTAAGAGGAGTCTGATTGACGAGATCGACAGCAAGCTGGATGAAGATGAGGTGGTTCCTGGTGAAGACAAGACACAGATGATGAGTTGCACCAAGATATGGTACGTTCTTTCATCGCCTAGCACAAACCAAGACATACTAACCCAGCCCAGGGATCGTCTGCAATCCATGGAGAAATTCCGCAATGGCGAACTCGATGTCGACAACCTCTGCTCAGAGCTACGCATGAAGGCTCGGTGTTCCGAGGGCGGCGTGGTCGTCAATCAGCAAGATGTCGAGGACATCATGGGACGTGCCAAGTAGTTCACACAAGTCACCATCGATCTATCGACAAGGAAATTCCAACGCCGTCGCTACCGATTCCGACACTATCGTTCTGCGTTTCAGATACCCACCCTTTACAATACAATCACCACACTACCGCTATTGATGTCGTTATGACCCAGGGAAAACAGTTTGGATCATGGGAGCTCTTTATATATCAAGGGCCAGCACACAAAATGTGAACGAAGACCAAGTTCAGCCGGTATAATCTAACCAGCTCTATACTCTATTGTTTTCCCCGACAAACTATGTACACACATACTACAATATATCATCCACACTCATTGCCTACTTTCTCTTTCTCCATTCTGTCTTTGTTATTCATCTCTCTGCACACTGAACATGATCACGGGAGGCGTGCTTCTGTCAATTTATCGATAATCTCGTATCCCCTGGAGCTTGCGGGGAGAAATTGTACATCACCACCACCATCGCTTTTGGAGTATGAATTCTGTACCTGATTTCTTCGAACTCTCAATGTGCTCGATGTCCTCGATTTGCTTGCTTTTCACTTGGATCGAAAAAGAAACTCCTTCCTCGTTTTGTTCTGCTTGCACTCACACAACCACGGAATCAGCGCTTCTTGATTAGGTATCTTGTTCTTGCCGGACGTCGGAGGTCTCATTTTTCATCAACACTGGGCATGGATTGGGTTGATTATCAGGCACTGCGGCGCATCTGCGTTCTGCGTTAATAAGAGGTAGGCGGCTGGGGGGGGAAATGATGGGTTCGAGCTTTGGGTCTAAATCCTGTTGGTGTTTTGTTTCTCACGCCTGTTTCATCGCTCTTTATATCATTTTATATCAGTAATCAGAGCCGGCGCTATGAAATCCATTATATCTCTCCCTATAGTCCCGAGTTGAGTAATCGCGATCTCAGCTGTAGATGCAGTGCGTTCCTTGATCTTGAAGTTTCGAGGTTTGCACGAAGGCCTCGCCCAAGGATAATAAATATATCCCATCACCAAAACCCAGCAACTCCGCGCAGCACAACTCCAAAACTACAAACTATGTATAAGATATGACTACCACTTTCCTAGCCCTGCATTTACTCAGTACTATACTAATCCATGAATATTTCCAAGACCCAAAATGAAGTTACTAGGGTATCGATATTGGGTAACGTCTCCAGATAGAGAAAACAGAGGAATTTAAAGTAACAAAAAAAAAAAAAAAAAAAAGAAATAAGTTAAAAGAAAAAACACGACCGCTCAGCTCTCCTTTCTCGAAATCTCTTCTTCTTTCCCACCCCCTTTTTTTTGGGTTTCTATAGTGCTCTTTCCCCTCGTCTCTTCCTAATCGTTGCCGCCCTCAAGAGAATCCTTCTCTCATTCACCCACCCATCCACCCACCCATAGTTTCCGTATCTTGACATCCTCCTCTTGCCTCGCCCGCACGACCGGTGGAGCTGCTCCCACTTCTACCCCAACCGTGGCTTCTGTACCAACGAATAACATAAACTCCTTAGCTCCCGATGGTTTTCCAGAATCTCGATTTGAGACGGACCGGACATAGACTGATCTATTAGTGGAACAATCCTACCATCGTTGCACGGTAAATGTCTACATGGAAGAAAGAAGGAAGAACGAGAGAAAAAAAATCAATGAAGATTCAAACGCATCTCGCTCAAAGAGGTAATGGAAAAAAAGAGTAGTGGGAAAAAAAAGTAGATAAGGAAAGAGAAAAGAGGACATCATTTTTGCAGACAAGAAATATCCTGCACAAAGAAGATTAGAGTATCGAGCGAAGACCGTGCAAGATTCGTAGGGAACATGGTGGGTGATGAGTTGAGGGTAGGACGGATGCTAGAGACAGATGAGGCATGATGAGAGAGTAAGGAAGAGAGGTAAGGAGCACGGATAGAAAAAAAAGGTTAGAAAAAGCTTTCGACACAGAATGAGGAAGACGGAGACGGCGAGTTGAAATCAATAGATGCGACGACAATTACACCTCAAGCGTCACCCCCAGCTGCGGCAACGGGCTTGTTATCCCCAGCCGAAGATTCGGACGGGCCACCCTTGTTGAAGCCACCACGACCGCCCCGGCCGCCGCGACCGCCTCGATCGCCGCGGCCCCGGCCTCGTCCGCCAAATCCACGGCCCCGGTTGGTCTCACTGTCGCTGGCACCACCGCTCTGGTATCCGCGCTGAGAGGAGCTGGCACCGCCGCGGTTGCTGCTCTGCCATGTGCCGGCATTGCCACGGTGGCTGCCGCGATCCTCGAAGAACTTGATGTTGGGCTTGCGGGGCTGACCAGGTGGGCTGGGCTTCTTGTGGTCCGCGGGCTGGCGCTCCAGCGCGGCCTTGGCCTCCTCAACAGTCGCAAAGGTCACAACGTGGTTGAACTTTCCCCACTTCTCCACTCGTACCATCTTGGCCCGGTCTTCCTCGGGGAAGAGATCGCGCACGGCTTGCTCGTTGTCGACGTTGGAGACGAATAGACCGTTGCTTGCCTTCTTCTCGGGCTTAGGCAGGGGAGACTCAGACGGCTTTTCAGGCTGAGCGGTGCCGTTGGGCTCGGTGGCAGCGGCTCTCTCGGGGGAGCCCATGGAGGGCTGGCCGGCAGGAGCGCTAGGAGGCTGGGGCGTAGCAGGCTTGGGGATCACGGGAGCCGGAGAGGTGCGGGCGGGGGCGGTGGCAGAGGCCTTAGCCTGGGCGGGCTGAGGGGGTTGCTGTGCCGGGGCACCAGGACGTCCAGATACTGGCTGCACCTGACCGAACTGAGGAGCAGCGCCGGGAATGCGGGGAGAGGCGACACTGGCGGGAGCACCAGCAGCAGGGACAGGGGCAGTCTGGGCAGGGGCCACAGGTTGGGGCTTTCCAGTGCGGTGAGCGAAGTTGAAACCCTGCGCGCGCATTTCGGTCGCAATGCGGCCGGCCTCAATCTCTAGCACGAGGAAGCCGAAAGCTGCATCCGCCAAGTTGAAATTCCACATGTTCTTGAACGCACTCTCGTCCACCTGGCCGGCCGCGTTGCCGGGAGCAGCAGGCCCACCAAAGGGATTGCCGCCGTTAGCAACAGTAGGCATCCGGTTGACCACCTCCAGGGCATTGTCCAGCAGAGTCTTCTGGGCCTCGTTCTGGGAGATAGCGGTCTCAACCTCTCCACGGACAGTCTCCCATACATCGTTGAATGAGGCCTTGGAAGCAGCCAGCTTGCCGCGGTAGTGATCCAGCGAGGGGTTGACGGAGAACTCATTGTAAGACGAGCCGTAGCGGAAGTGCAGACCGGCGGAGATGGAGAAATCGGCTTTGAGGGTGACGGATAGTTGATTCAGCATGCCCTCACGGGCGGGAGAGGCATGCGTGACGAAGACGCGGGTCTCAGACGGGTCATACACACGGTTGGCCGTGTCGATCAACTCGCCCATTTGCAAGAGGGTCGTCCACATGGTACCTTGACCGCCCGCAATCGTAGTCTTGCCCTCGCCATTGTCGAATAACTTGTGCATCACGACAGCACCACCCAGACCCAACAGACGCAGCTTGACGCCGCCAATGTCTAGCAGTCGCGAATTGGCCTCATCAATGATGTGAAGGTTGTTGACCTTGTACTCCCCGGAGCGGAACTTCTCCAACACGCGGACATCTTCACAGGCGCCCCAGACCGTGTACACCGGAACATCGAGAGTCAGCCGCTTGTCCAGCAGCATGGAGAGTTCTGAAAGGGGAAGCTGGTCGGGGGTGAATCGCTGCTTGATCGACTGCTGGGGAGGGGTTTGGGCGATCGTCCGCTTCACATTCTCCGGTAGCAAAGGTGAGTATTGGGCCACGTGCTTCAAGGTCCTAAAGTTGAGAGCCCAATCGGTCAGTGGGAACCGATCCGATCACATGTGTTGCATGCATCGAGGCCGCATTCAAGACGAACGAAGACACTCCATTGAAGCACCGGAAATCACTCACTTATCCGCAATGCGCTCCAGCGAGGTATCATCGTAGAAACCAAAGTCACCAGTGTGGATAATGTGGTCTGCACGGGCCTGTCTAGCCAGTTCATTCAGAGACTTGAGATTTCCTACGTCACGGAAAAAGCAAAACAAAGTTCCTCCAAATCAGCGATCGTGTTTTCTGGGTGCGACTGACCCATTGGAGGTCTATCCGGAGCACATACCTCGAACATCAGCGATACACAGGACTCTGACGGGACCATTTTGCAAGACGCGGCCATTGTTGGGGAGAAGAGGGGTGGCGCCGGGGACAGGGCCAGAAGTGACAGCACCGTTGGGAAGCGGGTAGCCTTGAGGACCGAAGTTGTGAGGAGGACGGGGCTAGAGAGAGAGGTCGAAGATCAGTCAGTGAGCTGCAAAAGCTATACCTCAAGCGAGCGCGTGCGGAGGATCGCCAAACGCATGGATGGAGAAAAGGATAGAGGGGAGGAAGCAGCCGTGACGTTGAGCATCAACAGCTAAAGCTGAAGAGGCGATCAGGCAAGACGTACAGAAGCCATGGGGGAGAATCTAATGACGGGGGGGGCGACGGAGAATCAAGGGTGAGGAAATTGGAGAAAGCAGAAAGAGGCTGTAAAAGACAGGCAGCAATAGAAGAAGGAGATGATGGGGAGAGAGACACAAAGCAGAAGAAGAGTGGGAATGGGAGAGTAAGTGAGGGAAGATGGGGGGAGTCTGGGAGGAGAACAGCAACAGCCAGCAAGCAGTGAGTGGTTGAAGCAACGGACAACCAAGAGAGGTTTGGTTTGACGGGTTTGGCAACACAACGACATCCCCGCTTAAGTAAGCATCCACCAGGGGCAGCTCTTTTTCTGTCGATGCTCTACCAGGTAATCCAATTAACCCAGATAAAGGGCGCAAGGGATTGACGGCCAAATAAGACACGCACACTCTAGCTGTACCACTAACTGAACAAAGGAACTTGTGCAGTATTCAGTTCAAACCGGCTAACCTGGCTGGTGGTGGAAGCAAACCACCCCCTTCTACACTGTAACACAAGACCTTGAAAAGCACCGACAGGCTACCATACTACATTACATACATACATGCTCCTCACTGGTATCTGACCTCAGAGCTCAGAGCTCAGAGACATTTCATCATACTCACTTTCTTCCTCCACTACTCCAAGTCTTCTATACACGGCCTGCTGCAGACAACGAGGACCCTGCAGTGCCAACAAAGCAAAATGTCCTCCCACTGTAGGCCGCGCTCGACACAAGACAGGGACCCCAGAGCGGCCTCCTTTGGCTGATGTGGCGATGTAGCGATCGGAAAACGGCCAGTGATGTTTGCCGTTGGTCATATATTTCCACAAGTCGTCAACAAACTCATCGCGGGTGGTGGAGTCCAACGTCCCAGCCAGCCACATGTTCCAGTCCGACTTAGCCCAGTCCTGTCGGTCATCCAAGGGTACACCATATTCGGCTCGGACCGATTCAAAGAAAGTATTCCCCATATCATATGCAGCCTTGGGGAAGGTGCGTAGGTCTAACAACACATCAGGGTAGAGATTGTACGGAATCTTCCAGGAGGCCGGCTTTCCTGGGTACTGCAGCGCAAAGTGCGTCTTTTGCGCGTCAACCCCCAATCCCCGAGAGAACAGCAGCTCGGCTCTTTCGTCGCCAACACGTGAGTATTCGGAGAAGCCTGTCAGCTCCCCGAATGCCTTGATACCAACGGCAGCCTTGATCGCAAGGTTAGTCTCGTTGGCCAGAGGTCCAGCGGCGTCGTTGGAAGACAACTGCTCAGCTATGTTGATGCCATTATCGACCAGATAATCTGCATAGCCCTGGAGAAGCTCGGTATACTGGGACGCCCAGTCTGTGTCTCCCGTGGCACGAACATAGGCGAGTACGAGAACCAATAGGTTCCCGCATTCCTCGATCGGCATTGGTTCTGCTTGTTGACTGTCGTGGCCAACTGCATTCGGGTAATGTGAGCCCATATCATGGATCACGTAAGGCTGCCGCCAGCGTCCGGCGGCGAGGTACCTCATCATGGGCTCTAGCAGAAGTCGGATGTAGTTTGGGTCCAGAATATAGTAGATAGGGAAAGCAGGCATGATGACGTCCACCGTGTTGATGTTGCCATCGCTTGAAAGCTCTTTGATGAACGCTAACACATCTGTGGTATTCAGCGTGTCATTAGGAATGGTAATCTCAATCCCTGCATAGGCCTGCCGACTCGACAAAGTCACAATGTCAGCGTATTTCTGCCCTGCAACGGCGGCCGCCTGTTTAGCCATCTCCAAATCAAGAGCGTGTGACTCTCGAAGAGCATCCGGGTAATCATTCAAGAAGTGCGCAACTGCTTGCTCTGTTCTGGGGTACAAGGCCCGGTAGTATCCTGTATACGGCCTCCCTAAGTAGTTGATTGACTCTTCGCGCACATGCCCAACGGCAAAAGTTACTGACTGCGCGTTCACAAGAAATCCCAAGTCGTGAGCAATACCAACAATACCCCCAGTCGTCAGGAGTTGGTTGGCATTGTTTAGCTTTCCAGTTTTCGCAAATTGGGACTGCACATCTTTTCGTTCTCCCGAGGCATATGAGAGGCTTGAGTTTAAGGTAGATTGAGAGGCTAGGACGGCTTCGCCCCAAGTTGCCATGTCACTTTCCTCGGAGTACGGAATCGCATTCTCCGACCGTAAGGAATACATAGCAGTAGAATTCGCATAAAGAAAGCTACAAGACGTAGATTCTGACTTTCCTGTCCAGCTTTTGTCAATGCTCGAGTAGATCTGAACATTGTTGGATGACGCTCCAGAAATCGAGACTGTCAGATAGCCTGAAGGTAAGCTAGTCAGCACGCAGCCGATGAATGTCATGCATAGAACCCGCCTTACTGAATGGTAGGGACTGGCGAAGGTAGTCAGAGGGCGAGATGGGTGAAAAGAAGTCTAGTGTAATAGTCACTGTGCCAGTAGTGAGAGTGAAGAGGGAGTGTGTGGCAGTGTATTCTGCACTGCGAACAGTAGCAGGGCGAATGAATTTATCAGAGCCCTTGACGTTCATCAGACTATAAGCCTGGCCATCTACACGAGCCATAATGGACCAGGTAAGATTCTGGCCAGTCCAGAACTGTGGCTCGGCCTCAGGGAGTCTCCCGACTTGATTGCTCGGCACCCATGTTGATAGGTATGGGCTTCGCACTGCCAATGGATAAGATGGAGGAAGAACAGGTTGATGGACAACGCTGGCCTGCTTGTTGGGCGTAAGAACGGAGAGTACGGTGGCCAAAAGTGAGCTCAGACCTAGGTTGGTAGTGAAGTCCAAGTACATTGTGTATTCGCAGTGAAGTGAAGAATACAATCCAAGGGAGGAAGCAGGAGGGAGGGGGAGAAGGAGGAGGGGAAATCCGCTGGTGACGACGACTGGCCCGCCCTGACTGCTGATCACCAATTCCCATCCCATTAACACGCCACTTTTCGCCTTCAACAGATGATGCTTTTTCCTTTTTGATCCAAGTCTGACACTTTCAAAGAGATGGTGCAAGCGGTGTTCTGTCTAAAATGCTCCCTAGCCTCGACGCTCACTTTAAAGCTTGCAGTGCAAGGAACTCGCCGAAAGTCCCCCATATGCGACCTCATCCTCTCCCTTCAGAGTTCACCTTCAATACTTTTTAAGCTTCCAGATATCTTTGCAGGTCTTGTCCATGGTTTCAACTGCCATCACGAGGATCTCTCCATGATACCAGGTGCAAGAAACGGCCGGCCGGTGTAAGCTCCTTTCGAAACTTGACAGCCGTGCTTGGAACAGATATTGCAATTTCCCGGCTCATAACTAGCAATATAATTCAAAATTGCTCGTGCAAGTTAGAATAGGATTGAGAAGTGTCAGAAGTGATCGGCTGGTGATGGCGACAGAACAATAGCTGGCTACATCGTTCTCTGGCTGGGACCCATGAGAGACGTGCTGACAAGCTGAGCATAAGTAGATTGAGAGTATATGCTGGATCTTGAAGGGCCTCCAAGACTTGAATCAGTGTAATATAGAAACTGAAACAGGATGAGTAGCATCTCGCACGTTCACCCGACAATATATTGATAATTAGCCGTATTCATGTGGGCAAAGAGCGCCGCGTCCTCATGAGCATATGCAGAATGTTTGCTCAGGGATTCTGACTCCTCATTGTCTGATCACCCTGGGCTTCTAACCCTTCAAGTTGAGGGCTTTCCGCCCGGTCGGCTTGTATGTCTCGACAAGGACGAGTAAGTAAGCCTGACCCAATTCCCATTTACAATGGCCTCGGGTGAAGCTGTTGAACCAGTTGCAGATACGGTCCTGGCAAGCATGAGGTGCAGCGTTGAGATAGCGTGCTTGATGGGGTTAACTTGCTTCGTAGTCATGGACTATCGGAGGTTTCGGTGGGGCGGGAACAGAGAGCATGGGAAGGCCGAAGAGAAAGTGGATTGGGAGATTTGAGAGAAGTTGGGGATTCCTGTTGTACATGACTGATAAGAAGATGATATCACACCTATCAAAGGGAGATAGTTCGCAACCTTGACCACCACAAAAAGCCCGGAGACTCTTGGCAACGATCCCAAGAAAAACCATGAGTTGTGAAGCTCATATTGAGGGCCACGACCTTTCCGTGATTTCAAGTATCGATCTAATGCTGCCTCGAAACATTGATGGGGGTCTGCATCGCAGACGTACCTCCGACAGCGTCCGCAATAAACATGGGCATGCGTTGTTGACTGTGATTAAATGGTACTCAGCGGCTTCTGCTCTATGAAATCTGCCTTTACAGAGTCTGAGATGAGGTAAATCACGAGGAACCCGAGGCATAGTGCAGTCATCTCGGGCTCATTCGAGTTTCGAATTGAAATTGTACACGGCTTGAGCATGGTACAATCTGCTTAAAATTGGGAGACGGAGGCATGGAGCTTCCCCCCTTCGTCGGTAGCACGCCGTGTCCAGTCATATTAGTGATAGTCCACCGTTTGTGGATAAAAAAACATGCTACCGTAACAGTAGCTTCCAGCGACCCGATAAAAGCCAACTAAAGAGCACATAGCATCGGGTCTTCAGACCTTTGTCTATAATGTATACAACTTCGGCATTCGAGGCTGACTTCTCGCTGATATATCGTTCTTACTGTTTCGTTCTCGTCATCACGCTGGTGAGTTGATTGAAACCTCACTCTAGTTCATCATCGGTACCGTGCACTTGCTGGGAATTTCAAGCTTCAACTTCTTAGTCCTGTTCGAAGCTGGCTCAGCTCGATGCTAGCGTTGACACGGTTCCAATTGCCATGGGCTGAGCTAAATGCGAATTGAGAGTGATTATGCCCAATCCCCTAGCTCGTTGCCCGCACTCTTTGGGGCATGCAACTCACCGCCAAGTGCATACAATCCACTTAGAGTTCTGGAATCGAGCCCTCATGCATTTTTGCGCTCTGTGGAGTATTCAGTACATGCTCTGCGACAGAGTTGAAGACCGCTTTGTGGACGAACCATCTGTCGCAAGCCATTGCACGGCGGTATGGGCTAAAAGTTCTTCGCCCAGGACGCTAAAGGTGCCTTCCACGGTGAAGTCGAGGCCATGCAAGAACGATTCAACGTGTGAATCGATTCGTGATGGTTCTTGGGATATCGAGTCCACCTGAAGGACGATGCCTTTACCTGCGGGGCAGCATAATATGCAGGACGACCCGGCCGCTTGGGGACTACTTGCACCAATGAGATCACAACTACTATCTCGGATATATCTGAACAGATCGCGGTCGCCATTTCGATTGAGTCGTAGCAACAGCTGTCTTGCTGGTAGGTTGGTTTTGTAGTGGTAGGGGTTCGGTGGATCACTGAAGCCTCGTGGTAGTCACACGAGGTGCGATATCACAAGGCAAGCTATAGAGGCAATCTGCCAGAGCCACCTTCTCGAGGAATATCAGTAATTGTTGAGGTTATCGATTACACTAAGTGGATGGATGGTGCAACGACGGTTTCAGACGCAGTCATAAGAGTAACTAGCAGAAATAGGTAAGGTTAACTATCGTTACCAAGTTTGAGTATTGGGGTGTGGAAGCGCTCACGCACGATCCTCAAGGTCAAGCAAATGTAAGATGCTGTTCATCCCTTGAGACCAAACAGCGATCAGATTGTGTGTATGAAGGAGAGTGAGGATATGGGGCAGCAGTCGACTGAGCCTTCCGCCCCCTTTCCCGGACTTGTTCCGCAGCTATGATTGCTGCAACGGGGAGTTCCCGGGCCATGATGCTTCGGGCTCTTATAGAAGCTGCGATCGGTCGAGGAGAGCCAAGGAAAGGAGCATAGAACGTGGATTTGTGTCTGCGGACAGGGGGTATCGTCTTAGTGATCCACTGGCATGCGAGCGTGGATGATCAACAGAAGAATACTCGTGGGCGCGAGAATGAAGATGATATAGTAGATTGAAGCAATACCCATGATAGTCAGTACTTGGATGAGGCTGTAAAGCGAAAATTTGATGATGTGGTACAGATCCGAGTTGATCCCAGGGAAGATGATGCGAATCAGCCGAAGCACAAGGAGTTCGAGCACAGCAAACAGAAGAAAAAGCGCATTGTAATATATGAGAGAGAGCAGAAGTGATGAAGCGAAGGGGGATGACTCCAGAGGGTTGTCAGAGGTGATGAATGACATGACACTGCTGTTTGAAGAGGAATCGCGCATGCTGGGCAGTGTAGTATGTGAGTGAAAGACTGATGGTATTTATAGAATAGAGGGGAAAGTTCCAGTCTGTGTAGTTGACAGAACTTTAGCAAGCAGGAAGAGATATACAAGAGGAAGAGAAATGGTCACAGAAAAGAGAGGATGTTGGCAGCAGATGACAAGCGATACTTATGCCGCTTAGGAAGAAACAAGGCTTGTGAGATCCCTGGACTGATGAAGTAGGTCGTTTGTCGTTCGGGCTTCTGTGTAGCCCAGGGGTGCTCACGCAAGGTAGTGAGGTGGATAACAAACGGAAGTGCGTTTGCTCTTCCAGGATGAAAGAGCAGAAACAAACTGTCTTCCGTTCAACTGTCTTCCGTTCAACGGGAGCAGACAGAACACCGCAGTCTCGAATGCATCTGCCTGGCACGAAAAGAACCAGGATCCATCCATGTAGGTTTCAGGACAGGTGGAGATGAACAATTATGAAAATGGTATTAGTGAAATGTTATATGCTAGTCTCAAAGATTGATCGGTTATCCCAAATGGAAACTGTAACAGTCTCAAAAAGCCCCCCGTAAAAGACACAAGAAACGGTATCAAGAGAAAGACACAAAGATCTAATCAAATCGTGACATCAAATATGGTACATGACATGGCAGTTAAACGATTATGTTAGTAAGAATGCGGTGTCCCCTAATCGTGCACGATTAAGTGACGGTGGTCTTGCTCGGGTAAAACCTAGCAATGGAAGTTAGCATGGCTTCAAAGTATGTAAGTCAGGGATTATTCTTACCAAGCAGCCACGGCAATGATCAAGTACATCATCATGAGTAAAACACCCTCGAGCCAGTGCGACTTTCCATCGGCGATGAGATAGTTGACCTGCTGAGGTTAGTGCATGTCCACGGCGCAGGTGTTGAGGTACAAACCAGAAGAACAGCAACAAATAGTAGGATCACCTGGAAACCGTCAAAGTAGAGGGTCATGTCATCATTGCCTAAGCAGCTGTTAGCGATTGGTCTCGGCTCTTCTCCTCGACAGCAAGACTGACCCATTCCCCACCCGATCACAATGATCAAGGGCAACACCAACAACGCGATCTGCATACTTGAGCCGACGGCCACGCCGATGGCTAGGTCCATCTTGTCCTTGCAAGCCACGGTGACAGCCGTCGCGTGCTCGGCCGCGTTACCCACAATGGGAAGAAGGATCAACCCCACAAAGGTCTCCGAGATATTGCCGGTCTGTGTGAGAGCATCGATAGAATCAACCTGACCAAATTAGCCGTTGTCAAAGTAAGATGAGGCGAAGGATCAAGCATACCATGAACTCGGCACAAAGCGCAACAAAGACAGTCGAGATGACAAGTGTCAGCACGGCCACCCAGATGCTGAGCTGAGGCTGTTCCTCATCGTCTGGTTCCTGAAGCTCCACCTTCTGAGCATGCTCACCAGCCATCGAGGCCGTCATCTTGCCAATCTGTGCGATCCCCCGACTGGCGTCGCCTTCGTTGATTTTCTGGCGTCTTCTTTCCACCTTGGGGCTAGGGGCGTTGTAGATCTCTGTGTGCGACTTGAGCTGGAAGAACAGATAACATCCATATACAACCAGTAATATAACACTGGTGCCGCGGGACAATTCCGCAATTCCAGTCTCCCCAGCATCTGACCAAGCATGGAAAGCTGTAGGAATGATAAGACTGGCCACAGCCAACGCCAAAAGACTGGCTGCGGTTTGTGCAACCACGGGATTGAAGTGTTGCTCCAGGCGGTCGATGCCGCCGAAGAAGAAACACATACCCATGACCAAGAGCAGGTTGGACAGCATACTACCGATCAAGGACGTCTGCACAATCACGACTTCTCCGTCAACCAAGGCGATGATCGCGACAATCAGCTCTACCGCGTTACCGAAGGTAGCATTCAGAAGACCACCGATAGTCTCACCAGTACGCATGGCGATCTCCTCGGTCGCATAACTCAGCATGGCGGCAAGGGGAATAATGGCGATGAAGTTGACCACGAAAACCGCCACCGGAGGGACGTTGACATAATTTAACGCAATTCCCACGGGTGCGGCGAAGAGTAGGACATTGATCCAGGAATTGAACAGTGTGGCTTTCAGTTGTCCGACGGCAGTAAATTTTTGCTTGTCGGGCATAGACTTGCTGGAGTCGGCGGTCATGCGATCCTCGTCAGCGCTGGATCGGAATGTGTTGTCCAAAAAAGTCCTTCGCTTTCGTGGTCGCGTCTCGTCGGGCTGATCGGGTTGCGGCACATTGATGGGGTCATGGCTGCGCAGCGACCGCTCGGTATCGGCCTTTTCGGCGCTGTCAATGCGATTCAACTGATCTGTACCGGCAGACTGGGGTGGAAAGGTATCCGCATGCTCTGGACCGGCCAGGCCTTGGGTCATATCTCTCCGACGTCGGCGCTCCTCGGAGAGTCGCAAACCACCTTCGGAAACCACAGGAGTGAGTCGATTCTCCAGTTGAATGGAGTTGGTCCGCCGCGGTCGCGCCCGGAATTTCTTGAAGGGATTATGTGTCGAGGGTTCGCCTTCATTGTCATACCAGGCCAGCTTTCTGGCTTGTCGTCGGTATATATCTGATGCGGGGAGCACGGTCAGCAAATGGCCCCATTGCACGAAAAAGGGGCAGGCTCACGCATTATTGCGGTGGAAGTGGATGTTTGTGTTTAGAACTGAAATGGCTCTGGAGGATTGAGGACGAGCTTCTTATACTACATAGACATTAGGCGACAGGCGATCAAGTAATAGATCTTTGGGGCGATGGCATAGCGATCCAACAAGCTTCAGATGCGCAGCACGCCGAGGCTTGTTAGGCGGCCCAGCAGACTGGTACACAGCTGTCATTGCAGCAATGATCCAATGGGAATGAAGCCGTTCAGGCACTTACAAATTGACGTGGAGTCTGAAGCAAGCAGTGAGAAAGCGATGAAGTCTTAAGAAGTGTGGCTGGAGCGGTGGAGAGTCGCGCAACACAGCCGCCTCGTTGAAGCCACAAGAGAGCAGACGAAGGCAATGAATACCCACCTGCTGAAATCATAGACTGCGAGGAGAATGGAAAGGAGGGAAATGTGCTCTAATCAGACCACCAGCGAGGATAATAAGAAAGAAAGACTAGACTACCCAAGCGAGGGAGAAAAGAGGGAGATCTGGCGGGTTGACTTTCTGCAACGAATGACCCAGCAATGACAACAACGCAAGACAGACTAGGAAACGAGTGACAGCAGCAAGGGAGTGAAAATCCCACTTGAAAAGGGATCAATGATGAAGGGAAGATTAAGTTTTGGTGGATGACCACAATCACACTGCATTATTGGATCGGATTGCAGTAATTCGATGGCACAGCCACAATCTAAAGCGCCAACAATCTCCACGACATAATCATCGCCGTGGTGTTTCCACGGGTGAGTTACGCACATAGCCGCCTTGGCCATTCTTGTGATTCTTATTATTCCGCCGGTTCTTCTCTTTTTGTTGACATTTTTGAAATAGAATGGGAAGGGGGAGGCGGTAGAACCGCAGAAGTAACAACCATGGTGCTGAGAGTATTCCCGGTCGGGGGTGGTCTCCGATAAATGTTCAGGCACTTCCATCTGTTAACAGACCAGACACAACAGGACAGGACACACAACACGATGCGGCCCAGCGACGTAATCAACTCTGCCAAGCCCTCCGATTGTCTTCGACTAGCAGCAGAACCAATGTGCGCATAACTCTTGGCCGCCACCAAGAGAGGACCTTGCCCCCCCTTTGCCTATCACACTAGACTACCGTACTCGCTTCCAGTTTTTGCGGCGCACGCACACTCTCAGGCTCGGTTGCGGGCAACCTCAGAGACAGTTTGGGCAGCAGTAACAGACGGGATGATGCACGAGGCGTCAGTCGGACATTTTGAGAGGCTGCAACGGCCTCAATCTCGAGTGCATCTGTGCACTTATTCATTCAATCCATCGCCAATCTCTCGGTGCTGGCGTCATTTTATCAGTCAACAAAGTTCAAACATTTCCGGCCCCTGGCGTGTTTCAACCAGGTGTTGGTGGGGTTGACCCAGGAGTCCAGGACTGCTTCTTCACCGCTTATCTAATCACACGTGATATTACACAGCCACATGTGGCTGGTGAGTAGCTGCGCCTGTGTAGCAGACAAGCCGCACCTGCATCAGCCACATCAGCCACACACGCCGTCTCTCTCCCTCCTTCTCTCGCTGTGAGCGTTGGCAGGCAGGGCGTCAGCGGTGTTGACCCATATTTGGGACAACGAAGACTGTAGGTATGCGGCCTAGCATTATATGCATCTGGAAAAAGAGTCAGTTGGATAGGCGTCACCCCTATGCGAAATTCCTAGACTATGCTCTACTGGCGCAAGGCCTGCAGATTTGTGTCACTATTTAATCGGATCGAGCGCCCGCAACAATCTCTCTCTCTCCACATAGTTCAAAGATGAATCATTACACAGGCGGCGTCGATATTGTGCACTTCTCGATGAGCATGAAACGAGGGCTCTCCGCTGCGTTGCGCAGGCCGTGACACCTTTGGATTTCACGTCCACGAGGGTTGGCTGTAATGCCGGAGAATGACCTTTTGACCTCCTTGCATCGATGTCTGTGCTGTCTCGCCTGCATCCAAGCGATGAGGTCATCCTGAAATCGGATGGTCATCGGAGTTTATACATAGTATTTGTCGACAACAATTGGATCCAGAAAAGGGGTGGCGAGCAAAAGGAGAAAACGCGACCTCCCGACAACAAACAAACAGAACAGAGAACTCAGTGGTTGGACTAGTGATGCCACTAGGATGTCGCTCCTGGATGATCCCAAAGCTTGATCCTCTGTTCAGCCGATTAATCCTCGGAGTGAGTATCTGGCCTCCTCCTGTACCGAAATCCGTGGTGAAAGGACTGACTACACTGTATTGCACAACATCTCGCATACACCACCAGTCAGCCAGTCAGCCAGTCAGCCGGATCGGTCGGATTCAGTCAGGACTCATGCACATCCATCCTCGAGCATCCGGAGGAGATGTATGTATTCCTGCTGATCGGTCGGTACATGCATGAAGAGAAAAAGACCATGAGCGACATCGACGGAGTATTGTTTAAGCCTTGATCCACTCAAACAAGCCTTTTGCCCATCTATATTCGAGACACGCTTGTGGAAGAGGGCATGCATTGCCATCCTTTGCCGCAATGAATTTTTATTTTCAGATGGGAAGAGGGTGTATTCGATACGGGGTGATACCTGGTCTTACTTGGTCTTACCTGGGGGCACAAGAGGCGACGTAAGCTCAGGGCCCTTTGAACCCTGACTCCCTGAGACCCTGCGGCAGGGTCTGAGGGGTCTGCCTTACGATTTACCGTACGAGACACGGTATGGTCACAATACAAGGAGGAAATTGCCCAATTTGCCCCTTCGACAGGCCCGCTTCTTCCTACTGTTTCGGAGAGCGGACTGGAGCGACCAACAAATCTGAATCACCTTGGCCCCCCCATCAAGTGTCTCGACTGAGCCGTGGGCGTGCATCTCAATAAGCCACTGACCCACCCGCCACCTGGTGAATGGCCAGGTCCCAGACTGATTAGCCCCTCGGCAGCACCGGGACTTGCATGCTGATTTGTCGAGAGCAGAGCGGATCAGGAACAAGGCACTCTTCCATTCTTTATTGAAACGGTAAGAACCGTGTAATGACCGTCCTTACCATACCCACGGTCAGGGTTTTGAGCCAATCAGCCATCAGGGTCCTGGGGCAAGTGGGTCGTTTACTTGGGGTCTCAACCCTGAATTTGACCCCTGGCTGATGGTAAGAGCGAGGTATTCGCCCTCCTGGAACCGCCCCGATTACAGCCAAGCTGAGCGAGCCTGTAGGTATTGCCATCCCAATAATGGATTGTAACCGAACGCGCCGTTGTGTGCCACGATGGATAATTAGGATGTGGGAGGTGGGAGGTGGTGGATAGGATCGAGGTCGACGATATTGAAGAGAGATGTCTGTCCTCATCATGGATGTCATCATGGATTGCGGATACAAGAGCAAGACAAAACAGTGGATGCACAACAACAACATTATCATCATCATCATCAATGGCCGTAAGATACTCCCCCGTAACCCTCCAATCAGTGTTGCCTACTGTCCCCTGAGTTCCCATCAGTGTTAGTACTCAGTAGTTGTGCTATTTTTACAGGCGTCGTAATCTGGTTCCTCTTGGATGGACCGACCATCATTCTACTCCGTAGCAGGACTCTAGGCAGGGGCCAAACTGAGCTCTCCCATTCTTATCTTCCGCCTCCCCCCAGCCATCACTCTTTCTCTCCTTCCCTTCTTTCTGGTTCCTTGTTTTCTCTTTTTTCTCTCCAACTCCCTCCCAAATCAACCTCAATAACATCATCCCACTTCAACGGCAGAGTGTGCGCCGTTAGTCACTCGTTCTTCCTTTTTAGACTTTTGTTTCTGCCCGGTGCGGTTCAATCTTCTTTGCTCTCACTCCATTCAGATTCAAGACTCTCGTTCATAACTCCTTCCACGGTTGACCATGAAGTACAACTCTATCGCCCTGGCTGGGGCCTCGATGCTCCTGGGCCGTGCCATTGCTGCCGACTTGCCTGAGATTGCCATCAAGGTATGTGCACGAGGGAGACAAGGAACACGAGTGAACCGGTGTTGACTGTTTGATTCGTGTAGGGCAACAAGTTCTTCTATTCTAACAACGGAACCCAATTGTGAGTCTTCCTGCCAGTTTGCACCAATGTCAGCCGTGACTAACCAATTCCAGTTACATGCGTGGTGTCGCCTATCAGCGTACGTCGATGGAGGACTGTGTCAAAAACTTACGAGGGACGAATCTAACCGATTTACAGAGGACTACACGGCCAATGGCACCTCCTCGGACAACAACGACTACATTGACCCCTTGGCCGATGCCACCTCTTGCAAGCGGGACATTCCCTACCTGCAGCAGCTCCGCACCAACGTGATCCGTACCTACGCCGTTGACCCCACCCAGAACCACGACGAGTGTATGACTGCCCTGGCCGACGCCGGCATCTACCTGATCACGGATCTGTCGTCTCCTTCCGAGTCCATCAACCGCAATGACCCCCAGTGGAACACTGCCTTGTACGATCGCTACACCAGTGTGATCGATGCCTTTGCCAATTACACCAACGTGATCGGTTTCTTTGCCGGTAACGAGGTCACCAACGACAACAACAACACCGATGCGGCTGCTTACGTCAAGGCTGCTGTCCGTGACATGAAGAAGTACATCAAGGCCAAGAACTACCGCACCACCCTTAGTATCGGTTACGCCACCGACGACGATGCCACCATCCGTGACGACCTCAAGGACTACCTTGTCTGCGGTGACTCTGAGGACATGATCGACTTCTTCGGTTACAACATCTACGAGTGGTGCGGTGACTCCTCCTTCAAGACCTCTGGATACCAGGCTCGTACCGAGGAGTTCAAGGACTACCCCGTTCCCGCTTTCTTCTCCGAGTACGGCTGCAACGACCCCTCTCCTCGTACTTTCACCGATGTCCCCGTTCTGTTCGGTAGCGACATGGATGACGTCTGGAGCGGTGGTATTGTCTACATGTACTTCCAGGAGGCCAACGACTATGGTCTGGTCTCGGTTTCCGGCAACAGCGTCAGCACCCTCAAGGATTTCTCCTATCTTTCGTCTCAGATGCAGAAGGCCACCCCTACCGGTGTGAACAGCAACAGCTGGTCCGCCTCCAACACCGCTACCAGCAGCTGCCCCACCGTTGCTTCGGCCTGGGAGGCTAGCAGCTCTCTGCCCCCTAGCCCCAACGACGCCCTGTGCGACTGCATGGAGGAGTCGCTGAGCTGCGTTGTCAAGGACTCTGTCTCTTCTTCCAAGTATGGTGATCTCTTCGACTACATCTGCGCTTTGAACGACGGCAAGTACTGTGCCGGCCAGGCCAGCAACTCGACCAGCGGAACCTACGGAGCCTACAGCGTCTGCTCGACCAAGCAGCAGCTGAACTTCGTCATGAACCAGTACTATAGCGCCCAGGGTGCCTCGGCCAGCGCCTGTGACTTCAGCGGCAAGGGTACCACCACCTCTTCCCAGTCTCCCACTGGCACTTGCTCTTCCTTGTTGAAGGAGGCTGGTACTGGCGGCACTGGCTCCGTGACCTCTTCCCCCACTGGCGGCTCTGCTGCCAGCGCCAGCTCCAGCTCCTCCGAGGGTGCTGCTGGTATGGGTGTCAGCCCCATGGCTGTCTCTGTTGGCAGCTGGCAGCTGGGCGCTTACGCCGTGACTGCTGTGGGTGCTGCCCTCGGCATGATCTTGCTGTAAGCGCAAGACGGAACGGTGACTGGGTGGAGGAAGCAGCCAGAAAATGATTATATCTGTAACCTTTACCGTTGGGATTCTTAGCCGTACATAATTGAACCGATTCTGTATACGTTCGTTTTTAAAGATTGAATTGATGTGTTCATGTTTGTTCTAAACCTCTCATGCCAACTCATGTGCTTCTGAGTGTAGATGGATCTAGCCTAGATGAAACGTTAGTTTGAAATCTCGGTCGTATGCGCTGTTAATCAGCTTGTCATCTGCTTGCGGCCCAACAGTGGGTTGAGGTGCATTTATCATGCAGCTGCAAGCCAACCGGCTCGGCGGGGCGATCCGAGGTCGGCGCATGAGAGCGCAATCGCCGAGCGGTTCGATGGAGTCACTTCGGCCACACAATCGGGATGCCGAGAGAGGACGGAAGATATAAATGGCTGCATCCTCGGCGAGGCTGGTTCAAGTAAATGTTTTTCAATCGTATAGAAAAATCAATAGAATAAAAACCATGCCGGCCATGGAAAAGTTCTTGAGTGGTGATGACCTCGAAAAAGCAGCCGCCGCCGCCGCCGCCGCCACCACCAACATTAGCACACCACTGCCGACCGAGCATCCAACCACACCTTCATCCTCCCTCTCCTCCTCATCAACACATACTCTCGACCCGGACGCCGATCCACACCAACCACAGCAGCAATGGACCGTCCGCTCATTACTCTCCCTCCACTCGCCTCCCCAAAAGGGCTACGAGCTCCCGTTCTGGCATAAAGCCATCATCCTCTTCATCGTGAGCTGGATGACCCTCGCCGTGACCTTCTCGAGCACGAGTCTCCTCCCCGCGACGCCGGAGATCGCGGCCGAGTTCGCCACGACCACGGAGATCATCAATGTCACCAACGCGGGCGTGCTGCTGGCCATGGGGTTTTCGTCGCTGATCTGGGGCCCCATGAATGCGTTGATCGGGCGGCGCGTGGCGTACCTGTTGGCGATCTCCGTGCTGTGTGGGTGTTCGGTTGGCGCGGCCGTGGCGGGCGATATGCGCGTGTTCACGGCGATGAGGGTGTTGGGCGGGTTGACCGGTACGGGGTTTATGGTGACGGGCCAAACGGTCTTGGCGGATTGTTGGGAGCCTGTAAGTTTCTTATTTTCTTTGTGGTTTGAAGGGAAAGGGCGAGGGGGTTGGGTCTCCGTATCTTGAAGTATATCCTGAACGGGGTGGTGAGGATATGGGAGATGATCTTTTAGCTTCATGCATAGCACTCATGGTATCGTTCTTTCGGCACGTCAACTGACACCCTCCAGACGGTCCGAGGTACCGCAGTTGGCTTCTTCATGGCAGGCACAGTCGCCGGACCAGCCATTGGTGAGTATACACTCCCTGCTGTCCCTGTCCGCTCTCTAATGACAACAACTACAACAACCAGGCCCCTGCATCGGCGGCATCATCGTCACCTTCGCCAGCTGGCGCAACATCTACTGGGTGCAAGTCGCCATGACCGGCTTCGGCCTCGTGCTGGCCATCCTCTTCGTCCCGGAGCTGTCGTCGGTTGACGCCAAAAAATCCATCACTCTTGAGGAAAAAGCCTCGGCGCGCCGTTCTCCCTCCGAGCAATTCAAGCACATCCTGCAGGCCTTCAACCCGATGCGCGTCTTCAAACTCTGGATCTATCCGAACATCTTCCTCGCTGTACGTCCTTCTTCTTTCCCCTCAGAAACAATCCTAACGAAAGGAAAGGATCTAACCTGCGGCCTCCTCTCGACCTTCCAATACGCGATCCTCACCTCCGCCCGCTCCATCTTCAACCCGCGCTTCCACCTCTCCTCCGCTTTAGTCAGTGGCCTCTTCTACCTCGCCCCCGGCGCCGGGTTCCTGGTCGGCAGCATCGTCGGCGGCCGCCTCAGCGACCGCACCGTGAAGCGCTACATCGCGAAACGCAACGGTACGCGCCTCCCACAGGACCGGCTGAACAGCGGCCTGATCACCCTGCTGGGGGTGCTCCCGGCCGGCGCGTTAGTGTATGGGTGGACCCTCCAGGAGGGCAAAGGCGGGATGGCGGTGCCGATCATCGCGGCGTTCTTTGGGGGCTGCGGCCTCATGGGCAGCTTCAATGGGCTGAACACCTACGCGGCCGAGGCGCTGCCGCATCGGCGGTCCGAGGTGATCAGTGGGAAATATATCATCCAATATCTGTTTTCGGCGGGGAGTAGCGCCGCGGTGGATCCGCTGATCGGGGCCATTGGGGTTGGGTGGACGTTTACGATTTGTGAGTCCTTTTCTTTTAAGGGGTTTGGGCTTAGTGATAGGGTTGTTGCTGACCGTGGTGACTGTTTAGGCGTCTTCTTTTCGATCTTCGGGGGCGTGTTGGTGATGCTGATTACGAGGTGGGGGTTGGATATGCAGCGGTGGGTGCAGAGGAGGGTTGGGGCGGATCCGTGATCTTTTCGACTTCGGTGATGAGGTTATGACTGATGATTGTTTATGATTTATTGGGTAATGTCTGGGTTTGCAGGTGCGGATGAGATAGAGAGCGATTGGGGTTGGGATTGTCCCTCCGGCATGAGCCGTGGTAGAAAGGATAATACAGAGACTGAATATAGATCGTGATAAAGTTAACTTATCTTGTTCATCTCGAATAAACAGGCTGATCAAGAGTCTGGCCGTTTGGTAAGAGGTGAGCATTGGTATGGTATCGTAAGATATACCATGACCAAGGTGTGGAAGCTAAGAACGATAATCTCTCGCCATCTTTGACGAGAATCAGTATCACAGGATATAGAATGGATGAAATGTTGAAGCAGAGTAAGCACGTTTGGAGGGATCTTCCACATGACCAAAACTCTAGAAAGGGAATGTAGATTGTGGCATTAATGTTGTTCATCTTTATGGGATCGGGGTTTTACCACGGAATTAAAGGTATCATAGCGACGACCTATGGAATTAGTTGGTCTGACCCGGCAAGTGGTTCCTTTGATGATCGTTGTGGTGATGGTGGTTCGTATTGTGGGGATCTATTTGGATTGGTCTTGGGCGGTTCTTCTCCGCAATCTGACCCCAATACGAAGCTCTTCGTCATCATGTCTCCTCTATATCACGATACTAGTGTATCAGGTATCATTCCCAGAAACCCCACAGGTCAATGACTACTGGTCATCCCCTCATACCCCCCCTCATTCAAATACGTATCCACCTGCAACATCCCTAGATCGAAATCACTCTGCGCCAGAAAGTCCTGCATCGTGGGTTCCATAAACGCCATCGCCGTCGTGAACCCCCCACTGCTGTCCCGGAGCTCCACGGGCAAGAACTCCTCGACCCCGGCCGTGGCGGCCGCCGGCCCATCCACCGTCGTCGACACCACCGCCGCAGTCGCCACCCCGGGCCCGATCGCCGCCGTCGCCGCCGCGGCCGCATTCTGGCTCCGCCGGCGGTCGCTCAGATACCGCCCCAGACACTCGTGGACCACCTTGAGGTGCTGGTAGAACTCCGACGCCGCCAGGTTCCCGTTCTCGCTCATCGAGCGGAGCACCTCCAGCCCGGTCTCGAACGAGTTCATGTCGGCGGCGCTCCCCATCGGCGTGAAGCTGGACATGGCGAGGACCAGCGCGGACGAGAACAGGTAGTGCGCGTGGAAGTAGCCGAACGTGGGCATGGAGCCGTTGATCCACCGCGTCAGGATGATGGAGTGGGTGTGCCGGGCGGCGTGCACGCACGCCTCCCCCAGCGTAAGAACCGGTTGGGAAATCTCCTCCGACTCGGGCTCGCTGAGCTTGATGAGGATGTGGAGGAGGGTGGGGCGCGTGGTGATGATGACACACTGAGTTGTTAGTTAGGTAGATGCAACCCAAGACACCTCGGTGCACTGCGTACGTACCTGGTTGAAGGATAAATGCAACGATCCGACCGGTGTGCGACTCGTTTCCGGTTCCTCTTGATTCAAACGTAGGTGCTCCGGTAGCGTTTCCACCCAGTTCTTCAGCGCTTTCAACAACTTCTGCACGCGCTGCAGAAACGTCTCGCTGTACTTGCGTCGACTGTACAGTTTGGCGATCGTCTCGCCAACAATCCGCGCCAGACTGATGTTCGCCTTTAAGTATTCCGTGTCCGAGAACTGCTCCTCGTGCAAGGCGATCGGAGTGATTGTCGACGGCATGTCCAGATGAATATCATCGTCCAGGATCTGAGACGGCACTCCCATCTTCGAGCCCCACATGCGATCGAAGATGTAGATCGTCCACCAGATACGCACGCGATGCTGGCGTTCCACCGGGTCGATCAACTGCGATTCGGGAATGTTGTGGTTCAGACCAATCGTCAACCCCAACCGCATCGCGCTGCCAATCAGCACGTAGGCTGAATGCCTCCGGTTCAGGTAATAGGAGAACAAAGACTGGATCATTAGCAGAGTCCCCGCAGCCTGGATCGAATGCATACCAGCAACAAGAGCGTCTCCAAATGGGCGATGCTCGTCCGCTCCGGCAGCACTTGCACGAGGCTAAGCGCACGCGCGAAATACTTGGTCCCTGGCACCCGCGACCCCGAGGACGGCTCATTTCGCATGGAATATGCCTCGCCAAAGGCGAAGAGCGCGAAGAACTTGCATTGGTGGACCTTGGCCTCGAAGTCACCCGTCTGGTAGATCTCCTCGAGCTTCTCCGTCGTCGATTTGCGCAGGACCAGATGGTAAATGAACCCGATCTGCCGCAGGGCAATCTTCAGCAACAGCCGGGCCTGCTGCAGACTCGGCCAGCCAATCTCGCCCGCGGTGGCCGCGCTGATGCTCTCGTCGTGGACGTACTGGGTGCGAGGGATGTGGGCGGTGGCGTTACTCCCCGTCAGGAAGCGCCGGAAGCGCGTCGCAAACGCGGTGCAGGCGGCCTCCCCAATGAAGATAGGCGGTGCGGAGGGATCGTAAGGATGGAACCAGGCGCGATCCCCAATTAAGGGATTGCGCACGTTGTTGGGATTCCCAGTTTCCAGGTCCGGGGCTTCTGCCGGCACTCGTGGCGGCCCGCGCCCCGAGACGCCGCCCCCCTCTGGGTCCGCATCGGTCGGATGTTCCGGCGCTCGGGGCTGTTCGCGCAGACGCTGGTTCTCAGCTAGCAGGCGTTGCAAGAAGCTGCAATAATGCTGGCATTAGATCAAACCCTGTGTACAATGGAAGCGTGAGATGTGATGTGATGGAAAGTCCTCCCTACCTTTCGCTTACTTTCACCTGCCGATCGCGAGGCGTGTACTCGCATTCATCGGCACAGCCAACCTGCCGGCATTTGAGACACGGCTGACCCCCTGAGCATTTGATCTTATGCGAATGGCAGCGCTGGCATCTAGATTGGCTCATCAGCCGATTTCCTGGGATGCCATCTGCAAGGGGGGGTTTATAAGAGGAAGAGAAACATACGCGATGAATTTCGGCCGCTTGGAGATCTCGACCTCATCGGTCGTTCTGCTATGTTTTCTACGGTTCATCAGTCATGACGAGACAGAGGTAGTTGTCAAAAGAAGTTAGAGGAATTTGAGACCGGTGGATGATCGTCATGTACGTGGTTGATAGTTTCTTGAGTTTCCGGTTGGAAGGAGTTGAAGTTGAGTTCGGCCGGCAATCGGTGAATTCTGCCGACTCACTGGCACCTTCCGGCCGATCCCCGATTAGGCATGAAGGCATTGGATGGATGGATGAATGGAATGTTCAACTCCCGTCGGAAATGTACAATTGGTAAGTTACTACCTTAGTACCTAGTTAATAGTAGTATTATTCGGCTTCTAGAATTAAGTTTCAAGTATCCAGCTGCGCCAAGTACACTCACCCCTTGAGGAATTCTGCAAGCTTTATTACGGACGTAAGTCGGGTTTATTCGGTGATACTATTCAGTTAAGACTGTGTGTGTGCGTGTGATCTACAGTCGCGTTGGCTGGCCGGCTGGTGGTGTGGCTGGCTGAACTTTTATCTTTTGTACTGCACCTGCTCCGTAGCAGCTCCAATATCTCGCCACCTTTGCAAGCACCCTCCCCCTCTACAATGGAGATGATTTGGTGGTAGTTGTGGTAATTGTTTACTGTGGTGGTTCCACCTGGCATTTCCCCCCCGCAGTCCGTGTGACTGCCCAGTGCCTATCAAATGTGGTGTCCAGATGTTTAGCACTGCTCGTACAGAGGCTCTCATCCCTGCACGGGAAACCATCCTTAACAACCTTGAAAATCCTAGTACATACTGACCGGCTCAGATTCTTGCTGCCATGGGCTGCCTTACTTATTTAACCAGTTAATCGGGTCGGTTATAGCCAACCCAATTGCGAGTCCAGAGGATCGTCCCAGCAGGAGAGAGAGAGAGTTCTTTGCCGTCCGGTTGGAGGCCGAGAAATACAACCTTGTCGAAAGCGAGGCCTGCAAATCTCCATTCTCAAATTGAACTGACCCTCACCAGCACGAACACGTCGCCAATCCTCCTCCATTGGTCGGAACCCACGATTGTCAGGGCCTTTGAAGCTTCGACTTTTGCTCATTCTCTCCCGTGCTGGAGGCTGCTTACCCTTTCCAGTCCCTAGGAAATTTCATTCTAAGTGATTGTGGCATTCTTCCTCTCTGCTTTTCTGCTTCTTGGGATCGAAATGATAGAGGCCCGCCATTGCGACCAGGAAAGAATCCAGAGGATTAAATTGGGCTTTTCCCTTCCCCTCTCCTATTGAGCCAATTCCATTGTTGCTTGTCATCTGCGACGACTGCCTTGATTTTGTTGCAGCACCCCCGCCGGTAGAACCAGGGATTTTCCCGCTGGCCGAGCATTCATTTAACTCGGCAATTGACATGGAGAATCGGCCGAGTCTGCTACTCGGTACTATTCAGTACCAGGTCAATTCCAAACCCGTCTACTAGCGTAGCGGAAGAGGAATCCGCACCCTTAAAAGAAGACGATCACCACTCAAGCAGGAAGAAGGAGCTCTTCACCCGATGGTGGGACCTACAGCACCCAAGCAGACCACATGGGTATTCCCCAACTGTGATGGGCGGGCTGAGAACCCGAGCGCGCTGTGAGTGGGTATGGAAAGTTTCCACTGGGCACCTCTCTCTCCGTCTCCCTCCCACCACTCATTCACTCTCCTTCTCCCTATCCCTCCTCTTCGGCCCGGCTTGGGCACCCCCCAATTCTCTCTCCAGTTCCCCTATCCCCTGATCCCCTCGCATCCTCTTATCTCCATTCAACTTTCAGTTCAGAGACTTTAATGGCAACCACGAAACCACAACAAGGAAACCCCAAGAGAATCCAAGAGAAAGGTCCCGCCCAGACGTGGGTAGAGTGTGATTGATTAGTCCCATATGTGTGGGGCACCGTGACAATCACGGATGGAGTCTCAGCGGAATTCTTTTCCACGCCAAGTCAATCTTCCGCCAACATCAATCCCATCCATCTATGGCAGGTCAAGCGCACGCCTGCTGGAAAGTAGATGCAAGAACATCCCTCGAACAAGAGAGATCGAAGAAACAAATATCATGGCTAGCAATAGCTCCCAAGCCCATCACGCTAACTATCGCAGCATGGGAGGCGAACCAATGTGGCCCCCGCGCACAACGTGGCTGTCTGACTTGACCAGGTCTGGTGATGGCCGCGCAGGGCGCAGGCTTTTCTCACATGTGTGAATCGGGCAGGACGGTCTCCCTCCCGTTCGTCTTCTGCTTCCTCCCTCTTCCCTTATTCTCCTGTCGCTTCTTGCCACTTCTTCGGTTAATCAATCCTGTCTCTGCTTGCTTCGCAACGCTGACAAGAATTCAATCATTCTCGTCAACTTCAGTTTCGTCTAGGTGCGAATGCCCACCTACAGGAGATCAGGGGTGTGCGGGCTGGTTCCCGCGTCGGCATGAGACACTCCGGGGGACTGCGTTTCTGCTCCATGCTAGCCGTTGGCATAAGGGGCATGTTCAGGTATGCACTTGGATTGTTATTTCAGAGTCAGAAGCTACTAGCTCGTCTCTCCTTTATGGTCCTGACCTCTGATCAAAGTGCGTCAATCTGCAGATTCCACCGGTCGGGCGGGGCAGCTGGCTCACTATCGCCAGTCAGGCCATTTTCATCAACCAGGCCCCAGCTCGTATTCGAAATTTGAACACACGGGGTGACGGTCTGTTCAAAACGTCCTCAGTGGAAGGGTGTCAGAGTCACAAGATCACTAAGCTTTCCCGGGAGCCATGGTTGAAGGAGAGAAGGCGACGGCAACAAGCACGGTCAAAACTTTAGTTCGCTACACCTCACAGTGTCGACTCATCATCAGTTCTATTCAAGTCTCCTGGTGTCCTAATCTCTCGCAAAATCGTCGTTAGGAACCTTTGCGCATCAAGGAAAGCCCTGACTTACATGTTTTGTGACCGAGGTGACCCCTTGGCTGGCCTTGCCCGTCATTTGTCACCCTCCAAAGTATGGTTAGTGATAGGGAATTGACACAATTAGATCGGATTCATTGGATTATGAGATCCTCCGGGTCGATAAGATCTGCTCCGCTAAGTCCTCTCATGATTGTTGACGATCGACTTTGCATTGAAAGAAAGTGTTGGGGAGCCTCGCGATAGCATCACACCTCAGAAAGCAAAAACGTTCTGTGACAGTTTGGGCTTTATGTTATATTCTTGATTTTCACAACACAAGTGTGGTGAGCTTTAAGCGAGCTCAATCACCTGCCATGGTCCCATTGACCATTGAGACGACGTAAGATATAACGAGCCCCGAGCAACGTGCCGCTGGCTCACGAGAAGACCAAGAAAAGTGCACATGCTTTATAAGTCGGTGTATCCTCGAGGAATCAGGCCTCCGCAGCACGTATAATCAAATCACGACTTGTTCAGATGTTCGAATCATGCGTACGAGGTGATGATGTGTCTGGTCTGTCACAAAACGGTAGACGGGTCAGGCCAGTTGGGCTATCGGTGGCTCTCGGCTCGAAAAAAGCGACCATTAGCACACGGCTCTTTCGCTCTTTCTAATATCGACAGTCGCATATTTGGGGAAATGGACAGGCTTGTTGTGGGAGTTGCGACGTGGTTGCACCGGCTCTTTTCTCTGCTCAGTGTGACTGATGAAAACAAATCAGTACCCGAGCATCGGTTCGAAACATAAGCAAGACTTTCTCAATAACAGAGGTAAACATGGAAAATAAGGAGAGGTTTATACCAGCGAGCGAACGGAGGCTCTCATCCTGATACCTGCTCACATGGGGCAGAATGACCGCGATAAAATGAGCGTGTTTCAAGGCTATCAACACGCTGTTCCTTCGACACTGCCAGCCTATGCCATCGATTTCATCATCTTCCGCAGTCTCAACGGTCTGCGTGAAGGTTCTGCCCTCATAGCCACGCCGCTGGTTTGATGAGATGATGGGTTATCTTCCTCTGGGTGCCCCTTGTTGGCCTGTTCGCCACGAAACACTGATAGCCAACGGAATCTTTGCTGGATCTTATCCCCGCCACCAATTCGAAAACCGAAGACCTCGAGGGTATAGTGCCAGAAGCTGGTGGGTACAGGTGGTGCTGGGAGAAAAAACAATCATCGAATCTGATATCCGAGATATTCAGCTGTATCTATTGAGTACTGGGACGGTTTTGCAATGCTGTCTGCGCGAGGCAGCGGGTTATCCTTCGATCTTGGCATAACTGGAGCGAGCCCCTCTGCAGGACTAAAGAGACGGTTCACATCCGACCAGACTTTTGTTGTGCAAAGATGGGCCTCGAATCCACAGGTCGCTGAAGGTCACAAAGAGATTAGGTGCCGGAAACAAGGAGAGATCGACTTGCTTTCCAACAACCATCGGTCGTACATCTTGACTCCAAATCGGAGACGATCGAGATGGCGGCCTCTCTGATCTGTTTCCCCCTCTTCATTTTCCCCTGGTTTTTTTTCTCTCACTCTTGCAGCAATCTCGAATTTTCGACCCCGCTTGTTATATGAATGGGGTTTGTTCTTTTTTTTTTTCCTTTTTTCCAAATTTTTGTCATGCATTTCTGATGAATTTTGCCTCCTACGATTGCAGGGGGGAGATTGGGGGTTACCACGGTATACAACCCTTGGTTATGGTGCCAAACAATGGTGCTCGGGAGGCGCGAGCCGATTTCCGCCCAACTGTGGCAAGTACGCCCACCCGGCAGTCATCTCCAGCCTACCACACTTCACCTTGGCTGGGTTCTGGGTCTCTTTCGACCAACAAGAGCCCAGTGCTTTGTACCGCTTTGTTACACCACCACCCTCAAAACAGCTTTGTCCCTATTGTTTGCCCCTGGCCTATAGTCCGTTTTTATACTTCAGTTTTGCCGGGCGTCATTCGCACTATCGTTACCGCCAGGTTGCTAGGTCGTCGGGTTCGTCGGACTGTGTGTTATTGAGGGCCGAGACGAAGGGGCCGTGGTGGGATTCCCGGCTCGTCCTTGACCATGAGTGACAACAGCCGTCCCCCTCATTTCCCTTTCCCTTCTCAGACTCCATCTTCGTCATCGGATTTGCTGGAAAGTGATTCTCAGTTTAGTCACCTGGGTACCGCGCTGAATCGCCAGCAACCTCATGGCCTTTCCGGCTCCTACGAAGTGGTGTATTCTGGCTTCTCTGAGAACCCCTCGACTGGCTCGCAGCTCATCGAATGTGATCGCTTCGGAAGGGTGCGTATTCCTAGGTCAGCCACATCGACTGCCTGGACCAGTAGCGGACGTGTAAGTCGAGCCTGCGAGAACTGTCGCGATCAGAAGGCCAAATGTAGTGGTCACCGCCCGACGTGTCAACGGTGCCAGGAAGCGGGCATCCGCTGCTCCTACGGTGACCGGAAGCGAGAAAAGGTGGCCAAGTGAGCGTTCCCAAACCCTGATGCAAACATTTACAAAGTGTCTCTAACTTCGTGTGCACCAGGCAGCTTAATGACCTGACAACCCAGGTCAAGGCATATGAGGATCTG